TTCTTCAAGCATCATGGGCTTCACTGGTTGGGAAGAAGAGGGATGGGGACTTGGGGTCAGAGTAGAAATACATTTTGGTTTCTTTTGTTGATGTTTGGTGTTTGTTACAGTACGCGATGAAAGGGGATACTGTATCATTTTATGAAACTTCAGTATAATATAGGAGGTGGTTCCTGGGAGTCCTGGTGGTGCAGTGGTTAAGGGTTGGGCTGTGCTCCTCAAAAGCATGCAGTTTGAAACTACCAGCTGCTCCTGGGGAGAAAGACGGGGTTTTCTGCTCCGGTATAATTCCAGTCTTGGAAACTCACAGGGGCAGTTCTACCCTGTCCTGTAGGGTCGCTATAAGTCAAAAATGACTTGATGGCAGTGAATTTTTTATTGGATCCCGATGTGGAAAGTTTTTTGTTTTGTTTTTTAATTTACTGTGGGGTCTTGTTAAGAGTTTGAAAATTACCATTTTAGACAACTGAGTCCCAAGTTTGTTATAATCTGGTTTATGGAAGAGAAGCTTTTCGTGTGTGGGTGCTGGTAAAAGGACTCTGGCCTTAGTTGTATGTCACCTGACCAGACTGTCCAAGTGTGTGGGATCCAGTGAAGTGAATTGTGGAGGGAGCGCAGTAGGAGAGAGCTATGATCAGAACTTCACGTCCCAGCAATCAGTTCTTCCCCTGGCCGGAAATGAGGCGGGAGAGGCAAGATGCGGAATGGTGGCCGAGAGGTCTAATCCCTTCTTCCTCTTCTTTCTTGGTCCCGCCCAGCCTACATTTCCCAGGAGTCTTCGCGCGCTCTTCCGCTCTACCCTCTTGCTCCCTGTCTCCCCGCCACCGCCACTCCCCGTGTGGGGGGGCTGGTGGCTCAGTGCGCCTGCGCCGAGCCATGGCTTTCTGGGTACTGCAGTCCCTGACTTTTATACAGTCCCCTTTCCGCTGCCTTAGAACAGACTACAAGTCCCTTGATGCATTGTGCGTCCTGCTGGTGGAGGGAGGGGGAGGGAGGGGAGGTGAAGAGGAGGAGGAGGGAGCAGGCGGCCGGCGGCGCGGGGGGAGGGGGCCCGGTCCGGGAGTGCGGGAGGCAGTGGTAGAGGGAGGTGGCGGCAGCGGCAACGGCTAGCGGACTCGAGTCACAATCGGACTGAGAGAGACACCTCCGTGGAGCGAGTCAGTAGGAGCACCGAACACCGGAGGCGGCACCGGGATCCCCGGCTTAGGGGAGGGGGCCGCCGGACCGGGAGGAGGGGAGGGGGCGATGCTGGAAGCCATGGCGGAGC